GGACGGCCGCTGGGCTGAAGCTCAACATGCGGAAATGTGCTCAAGGACGTCCTCCCTCCTATGATGCCGCCGCTGCCAGAAGCTGAGGTCGCCACTCCTGCTGCAACAGGACTGCCAACTGCATCAACGTCGACTGCGTTGAGCTGCCCAGAGTGCAACAGGCTGTTCTCTAAGCAACGAGGTCTGTCCCAACACTGGAGACAAGCCCACCTGACAACCTACAACGCCGAGAAGGAACGCCTTGCCCCATCTCGTACGAACTGGACAGCCCAGGAGGATACAGCAACATTGGACGAAGTCCAAAACAGAATAGCGATCGGCCATTTGTCACTCGCGAGTACCTATCCCAGCTTTGTTGTCCGAATAAACGAGGCGGTGCGCAGTAGCTATTACACAAAACGACGATACGTGATGGAGGCCTGGGTATTCCGCGTCTTGCAACTCTTCTGCCCCTTGCGAAGCGCCGCCGCCTGGATAATGTCCTCAGCTCAAAAGAGCCTGTTGTCAGGGCAGCCGCGACCCTACCTTCTGGATTCCCAGGCATCCGGCTTGCTGCTGAACCAGTGCGGATGGGTCAAACGATCCTGGCCACCAAAGAGGATGCTCGGAGATATTGGAGGGACTCTCTCTACAACTCCGCCGACGGACGTGCTCGTGCTCGCATCGCCAACTCTGCCTGTGCCAGGCACTGGATTTCCTCCCCTGACCGAGTTTTCCCCTGGTTATTCCTTCGCGGCATCCAGCTTCGCGCAGGTGTCCTGGAAACCAAAGCTCACAGGAATCGTAGGACCAGGTCAGGAGATGTGCTGTGTCAGGGTCACTGCGGTCAGCGTGAAACCCTCAATCATATTCTCCAATGTTGCCAGCTGAATCACGATGCCCGGGTCTGGCGCCACAACATCGTCATGAAGCTACTGGCCCAACGCCTCTCACGCAACAACCCAACTATCCTCCTGGAACCGCATATACCGAGTGGAAATACCTACTGCAAACCGGATATAGTCCTCTATACAGATGCTGGTGCAACGGTGATCGATGTCGCGGTCGCTGGAGAGGACTACATGGACCGAGTGTATCAGGGGAAAGTGGATCGCTACTCAGAGGCTGAAGTGGAGTCTAATCTTCGCCGAATCCTCTCGAAGCCGGCTACCTACCCAATCGCCCATATGCCTGTAGTCTTCTCTGCACGTGGCGGAGTCTACCAACGCACAGAAAGGAACTTACTCAGCCTTGGACTTACGAAATTAGACGTATCGGACCTCACTTTAGCGACAGTGCGTGGATGCCTGAAGGCGTACGACGTGTAC